ATATATATAAGCCCATTATTCTTTAGAGCAGAGACAGCAGGATTGCGATTTGTGTTCCATGTCACACTATAGCAATAGGTATTTCTTCTTCATTTTAAAAGCCTACTTTTAAGTTTAAAAAATCCAGGAGACAGGAAAATAATGAAGAGGTGAGGGGCGGCGAGCGGAGAAAGACAGAAAAGGTAAGGAGAGAGCGAGAGAAGAGAAGCGCGAACAAGAGCGACGGAGGGTTAAGCGGAAAAAGGCCAGATAAACGAGAAGAGGCGAGAGAGAGCGCGACTATACGAGCATTGCCAAAAAACACGCCACAGTCGCCAGGCATTTTAATGCATACATACTATTTCAATATTTATTTTAAAAATAAGGACAACTGGAAAAAATCCATAAACGGCCCAATAACACGCAAGCATCACCCGTGACGCATCCTTCCACATGATTATAACGCCACGCAGCCGTCCCGGCGAGGCCGGCAGCGCACGATCTGTTCTACGCCCTCACGACGGCGTCCGCAGCCTGGGTCTAGCCTAGCAACCCAGCGATAATAACACAGGGTTACCGCCCACGCCACCAATCTCGCTCGCCTGTACACGCGCGCGCGCGCACACACACACACACCGGCTTCTTACAACAAACAGCCTAACATTATCTCTCTGCCTACAATTAGTAATTATAATATATAGGCATCGGAAGCATGAGCGCCGCATGCGCACTAACGCGCGCTCACGCGAAAAAAAACGCGGGTCAAGCCGACCGGTTTGCCGCTATCTAACGACACTAGGCGAGCACTAGCCGCCCCCTCGCTCCCCTCCCCCAACACCGCCCAATCGGACCCCCCCTCTCTCTCTCTCCTACGGCACGCTAGATCGAGAGGAGGACGCCCAAGGCAAACAAACAAACACATACGTGCGTGGAGGCACTTGTGGGTACGACGCGACGACCGGGGTACGGGCGTATGGGGTCCGGTGGGAGGGGAGCCGGCACCCAGGCGCAGCGGGGTGCCACCGGTGGGGTGAGGCAAGCTTACGCACGACGAATGATAGCTGTATATGAGGGACCGCTAACGAACAAACGCCGGACACGCCCGGACACACCACAGCCGGCAAGACACGGCAACACGCGTGACATCATTTGTTTATTGGGTGTGACGTAGTGTCACAAGTAACGTACGCTCCCACGCCACCCCACCCTCTCCTTTCCTCACACCACCCATCTACCTCCTTTTCCCATATTCCCACCTCCTCACCCTCTCCCTTCCTCACACCACACCATCTACCTCCTTTTCCCATATTCCCCACCTCCCCAACCCTCTCCTTCCGCACACACCCATCTATACCTCCCTACCCATACTTCCACCACGCCTCCCTACATCGCCTTCACCCATCCCTCACCTCCCTTCCCCATCTTCCACTCCTACTCCCCTTCCCCTCACACCACCCATCTACCTCCCTTCCCCATTCTCCCACCACCCCCTCCCTATCCCCTCCTCACACCATCCCTGCCCACCTTCTCTCCCCAGCCAGCCCACCAAACGAGTAAGCAACAAAGCAACGTGTCTGTGCTTTGTAAACGTTCTCCCTCGCATACGTATAAAGAGGGATGGAGAAGGAAGAAGACATAGGGTAGGAAGGAAGGGAGCGTGGAACCGAGTGGAACGTAGTGAGAGGGTGACAGAGAGGGAGGAGAGGAGAACAGAGGTAAAGAAGGATGGAAAGAGATGCTAGGTAAGGGCTAAGAGAAGAGAAGCGGGGGAGAGAGAAAAGGAAGAAAAGGAAGAAAAGAATAGAAAGAAGAGTGCGCAGAAGACAAGTAAGATTGAGACCAGCCAGTGGAGAGCAGAGCATAACGAAAGCTCGGCACCACCGCCATTGAGAATAGGGAAAAGAGAGGAGACGTGAGAGAAAAGCGCGAGGGAAATAAGGCGAATAAAAGAGGGAAAAAGTCAGAGAAGTTTTCGCCCAGCCGAAGCTCACGCCACGCACGCCCACTGCCACGCACCCACGCGCAGTGGTCCCTCATGCGGCGAGCTGCAGCTCGCTGCCGAGCCGACAACGAAACATTATTAACGTAACATAATATTCGCGAATTAACGAAGGCGCAGATACACGCACGCCACGCACGCCACGCCACCCGGCCAGTGTCCCTCATGGGGAGGCGAGCTGAGCAGCTGCCGAGAGAAAACAAAAACATTATTAAGCCGTAACACTAATATTCGCCCTAATTAACGAAGCCGCAGATACCACGCACGCACGCACGCGACGCACGCACGCGACGGCCACGCCGTTATCCCACCTCCGCACCTGCTAACCCTCGCGAAATTCCGTCCGGACGCCGCGCATGCCGCAGCGTCTCCGTATTAATGATTTCTTTAGCAGAAACAACACACACGCTGCAGTCGCCACCTGGACCGCACTCTCCCCCCTCCCCTCCTATTCCTTCCCCTCCTTTCTTCCCCCTCCCCTTCCCCTTGCCCTCACTTCCCCCCTCCTGTGCTTCCCTCCACTCACCCTCCCCTTTCCTCTTAACTCGTAGTCTGAAATCCTACGGGCCTGCGAGCTCCCTCGTGCGCCGTGGGCACCCAACTCTCGCACCTAATCTGATCGCACTAACCAGTACGATCCTCTGCGGGCCTCGCTCCTTCTCCTCTCCTCTCCTCTCCTCTCCTCTCCTCCTCCTCTCCTCTCCGTGCTCCTCCTCCTCTCCTCTCCCTCTCTCTCTCCCTCTCATCTCTCTCTCTTCCTCTCCTTCCTCCTCCTCTCCTCTCCTTCCTCCTCTCCTCTCCTACTCCTCTCCTCCTCCTCTCCTCTCCTCTCCTCTCCTCTCCTCTCCTGCTCCTCCTCCTCGTCGCTCTCCCTTGCCATTGCCTTCCCTCCCCGCCCCTCAGCTTTCTCTCTTCTTCCTTCCTCGTCGCTGCCTCTCCTTACCCCTACCCTCCCTCCCTCCCTGAGTCTCTCGTCCACCCTCCCCTCTGTCACTCTACTCCTCACTTTCCGTTTCCCCCCATGCCTGCCCTCTCGTCCGAAGCTCTCCTCCATCCCTACGTCATTTAAAATCGGGCCACAAGATGCCGAACTAACAATCAATACTAATAAATAGAGCCGACGGGGCTTACGACGCAGCATAAATAATAACCAATGACGATGATAGATGACGCGCGCGCCGGCGGCGCGGCGGCAGCAGCAGCCGCTGATGCTACGTACTGGACTTTACGCAGTCAGCATGATCTGGCCGGCGCCTGTAAGGAGGAAACCCCCAGCAGAGAAAAGCATTAGAGAGATGCGGAGAGCAA